TTTTTTTTTTAAATCCCCCCGCCAGTGATAGTGGTGCTGGTAAGAGCAGACACGACGAGCACCTGAGGAGAGGCTCCATCTATTGGTGGGGAGCAGCACCTGCTGGAAAACGGGTCCAGCGTCCCATATACAGAAGAAATTCAGAGTACATCAGGAAAAAAAAGCGGGAGACCCCTGCCAGCATTGATTACTACACTTATAGTGAACTCCTCCTGGTGTTTCTATTGGATTATTCTTTGAATGGAAGGAGTTGTGTGCACCTGAGTCACGACTCATACATATCTTCTTTCTTTCTTTCTTTATTTTTCTCCATACACTCTTTATTGCCTTGTTTCTGTGAAGTTGGGAGGCATTGCGTTATGCTTACGGTTCTTGTAGAAGTTGTAGTGAAGGAAGAGCGCTCGTGCGTACACTGCTGACAGGAGAGCACGTGGCCCTGGTGGACTGTGCATGCATGGCCATGTGGACTGAGAACGCCACACACAAGCCACGTTTTTTTTTTTTTTTTTTTTTTTTTTTTTTTTTAAGACCCACACGCAAGCCACGTTGACACCTCCCATAACCATATTCTGATGTGTCAGAAATTGGGCCATGTTTATGTCATGTTACTGTGTGACTATCTCTGATTTGCTGGTAAGTTTGGAAGACTGATTTCCTTTTTGTCATTGTTTTTCTTTCTCCTTTTTCTCTTGATTTTTCTTGGGTGGTGGGTGGGTGGGTGGGTGGGTGGGGGGCGCGTTTCTTCGTCACAGGAATGAGTACCTGCCTGTCGCAACGACTCGTCCTGAAACAATAATGGGGGATACTGCTGTGGCTGTCCACCCAGAGGTATGCAACATATCATCACACTCAAGGTATAGTGGGGGGGGGAAGGGGGGGGGATTGGGGTAAAGAAAGGGTAGTTGGAGATGAAACAAGGGGGGGATGATTCAGGAGGGTGGCTTCAGTGTGAGAGCAAAAAAAAGCATAGTGTACTTACAGTCGTATGATTTTTGTTTTGTGCCTAGGCTACCAGACTGACCTAGGACGACTTCCCCAGCCGTGCCAGGGAAAAAATATATAAAATCATTAAAATAATAAAATGTTTATTTTTAATTTGGTAGAGAATGCAAGGAACATGAATATGGATGAAGCACAGAAATCCAGATTTGCAAAATCACACTGAAGTCCAAGTAGTCAAAGCAAGAGCAGATAGCACAATGGAACCGAGTAACCATCCATTTGAGAAYGATACAGAAGAATCGTGAGTCAATGTCCAWGCCCAACAGGGCAACACCAACAGCATAACYCRATGTAGCTCTCTCTCTTGAATGGCGCCAGGCGCCCTACCTACTCTACAGCCTAACACTACAACTACAGTATGAAAGCAACCAGACAACTTGACTACCACCGAGTGATGATGTCAACACCAATGCCGACATCCCACCTCCACCAGGTACGTCTCCTTCTTCACCCACACTCTCCCTTGTTATCCCACACAGTTCCCTTCACCTCCGAAGAACCACCTTCGCCCTCACCTCCCCTGCGCCCTCAGGCAGCCCGGCTATGGCCGCCAGCGCCCTGTGTACAGGCAGCGCCCGACCGCCTAGCGCCTGCCTGTCTCGCACCTCAGCCTAGCGCAGCACAGCAGCTCGCATTTGCGCATCGTGCCGGCATTGCCCGCAATGGCCAAGATCCCTGCCCACTCGCCCTGCTTGCCTATATGCCAGTGTTGCGTGTGGGCGGCCTCCCTTGAGCCTGTGCCTGGGCCCCAGTGCCTGTACCCAGGCCCGATGCAGTTGGGGGCCCAGGAGATGCAGTTGCGCCTCTTTCGTCAAGGCCTGCGGCCAAATTCAGATAGTGGACCGGTTTCCCTTTGGCATTTTCGGTCTCTATATCCAGCATGCATTGTCGGCCTCACGTTTATGTGCCCAGGGCCTAACCAACTCGGGGCCCTGGGATTTCTGCATTTGCAGAGCTCCGATACTCGGTGCACACCAACCAACTGGCGTGCTGCAACTGTATGGACCCCACTTCGTGAAATGTTTGCACAGAGGGCTCTTGTTGATTTGCTGGCCCGCCTTCACTTAGGGC